GCCAAACTTAAGGGCCGCCCCCCCCCCCAAGAAAGCAGATGCCTACATGAAGGCGCAGACATGAAAGGAAACCTGAGCGCACCCCGGCATCTCGGACCTGCCAGGTGAGCCAGGGCACAGGCCGCTCTCATGTCTCTGCCCTTCAGGGCAGGAATTTAGGCAGGAAAAAAAAAAAAAGGTTCAGTTGTAGCAACATTTTCTTCTCCTCCTCTTGCAGAGGAGGAAGACCACACACAGAACATCCACTCCCTCACCTCACACCTTGGACACGCTGGCCAAAACTCAAAGGCGCTTCATTTGCCAAAAAAACTATGTGGCTATTTTTGGATACAAACTTTTGAGGAAAGATTTTTTTTTAAGAGAAATAGCATGTTCAGGGATTTATCCTTTTTTTTTTTTTTCTTTAAGCAGCAAACACACCCTTCCAGCTTTCTGGCCATGAGGAAAAATACACTTACTACCAGAACTGGTGTTTTACCCCCCCACCCCACCCCAATCCATGCTTCCTTCCCCAGCAGAGAATTATAAATGAGTTTGCAAGCACAGAAAGCCTCGCAGCACCTTTACGGCGCATCAACCTGCTTGTTTACCAGTGGGGAAACTGAGGCATCAGCGGCCTGGGTTGAGGCAGGTGCAATCCCAGCAAAGCCCCTGCTCGAGCCGGGAAGGACGCAGGTTCCTGAGCAGCTGCTCCCGCCATGGGACCAGCTTTCCTAGGAGCTGTGCGTCGCATTCGCCCGCCCGCCTATCCCCAGCCATAGCGGACTGGCAGCTTCAGAAGAGCTGTTAGTTGTTGAGGAGCTAGGGTGGGGAAGGAAAACCACAGCCATTGCATGAGCAGATACCTTGGCTGTATTGTAATGCACCTAACCAGTCACAAAGCCTTTTGCTGCAGCAGGAAGGCCAACGCCAGGCTGCCTTTGGCCAACACATTGGCCCCTCCATGCCCTGCAGCTGAGCCAAGGGTGCAAGGTGCAACGGGAAGGGCTGAGGTCTTGCCCGCTCGCTAGCCGAGGACATCATCTATGGCGCCGTCAGCTCAAGGGCAGGAGCTCTTTGCCAGGCTACGCGTGCTGCTGTTCAAGGGAGGATGCCACGGAGCGAGAGGCCCCCATCAGCCGTGGGAGCCGAGGGCTCGGGTGCGCGCAAGCAGCCACAAACTCTTAGCTGGGCTTTTGCAAACAGGCTGTGTTTGAAGCCAGCCTAGCAATCCCTGTTGTAAAGGAAATGTCAGGGCTGTTCCAGCAAAGTGCAAGCAGCTGCACACTCCTTATTAAACCACAAACGGGCAGCAAAACCAGCCTGAGAGCCATTCTCCTTTCTCTCCCCACTGCAAAGGCTGCAAAATGTATTTTGCAGGTCTAGAGCATCTGCAAGCCACCGCTAAGGCAATTCCCTCCCCCCTACATAGCACACGCCACAACGTGGCAAGTCCCCGCTCCTTGGCAGGTCAGCACGACCAGGAAAAGCGTATGCAAGGACTCTTGATTCCCCCCAGCCTCGTGTTATTACCAGCCAGACGCTGGAGCGGGCAAAACAGCATGAAGCTAGGTAGCGGCAGCGCTAAGTAAAGAGCAAGGCGCCTGACTCACAGGCTTGCATGTGACACAGCACTGGAAAATCAGCCGCAACCAGGCAGGCAGCGGTGGCTTTGGGAGCCGGGCACGCAGCCTCCCCCGCTCACGAGCCCTCCCGGCCGGCCAGGGTGCCTTGCGGGGGAGGCA